AAAGGAAAGGGTTAATCATTCACCCCCCCGTGTAAAGTCTCTTACTTCGTTCTCCCCCGGGCGCGGCAGGGGCCTGACTCCAAGGGGGCGGGCGGACTCCCCGGTGTGGAACGCGCCGGGGCTCCCGGCGGGCTCGGAGTCGAGGCTGCTCCGGTCTCACTCCGGATTCTGTTCGCTGCCTGACCCGCGCAGCACTTGGCAATCTCCCTTCCCGCAGCAGGGAGCCCCGGGCGCTGCGCACGCTCCCTAGCTCCCCGGACTCCTAAACCGAATCACTTTCGTTTTCAGGTGGTCCCCGCCCCCTGGCCGTGGATTTGCTGCTCCGGTTTGTCATTGGCCCGGGGCGCTGCTCGTCCGGATCAAACCGCGCCGCAGCGGCCCTGTTAGCCCCCAGCGGCGGTTGCGAGTTTGTGCCCCTTCAGCCCTGACCTGGCGAGCACGGTGGGATGGGGGCAGGGCACAGAGCCTGTGGCCACCACCGCTGCGGTTGGGTTGCCACAGCTAGTGTGACCAGGCTCATATAAAAAAAAGCCCCAAATATCGGGACTGTCCCTATAAAATCGGGACATCTGGTCACCCTAGCGGGGGGTTGCACCCTGCTCCTGGCTAGGAAACGCGGTATCCCCATCACGCACTTCAGGGTGAACACACCGTGCTACAGAATACAACCAAGCTACGCCTCGGAGCCCATTAAGGTGACCAGACAGCAAATGTGAAAAATTGGGACAGGGGGTGGGGGGTAATAGGATATAAGAAAAAGAAAAAGACCCACAAATCGGGACTGTCCCTATAAAATCGGGACATCTGGTCACCCTAGAGCCCATGCTTCTGCTAAGTGATTACAAACACCGTTGCTGTGAGACAGGCAATCTAACAAGAAACGGAATGAACACACACACGTACAGCGCCCTGCTCAAACCGGAGGACATGAGGCTAACCGGTACCGGGCAGCCTGCTCCGGGCACCCATCTATGGATCACACAAAGAGGCACGTCAGAGAAGACACCAGCAGGGTCGAGGGTTACACGGAGGATGGGCTTCATCTCCGGACCAGAGCGCCCGGGTGCTGATGGCTCTTCTGTAGCAGAAGGGCATGTGCTCCCCACCCCTGGCTCCAGGCCTTGGTCCACAACTCCCTTCTCCTCTCTATCCATTGCTGTTGCCTCTGGATTCCTTGGCCAAGTGATGTCATCTCTGTTCCAAAAGGTTCCCCATCTGTACAAGGGGGATAATCACGTTT